GTTTACAAATTTTTGCCATGATTATAGTGTATTACTGGGTGTCAGTTCCTTGTCTCTGGTGACTGCTTATCCGTACATAAAGAGGTTTAGCTACTGGCCGCAGTTGTGCCTAGGTGTGTCACATGACAAGTAACCAACAGCGATAAGTACTTACCTGATTTGCAGATGAAAACTGATTATTTAAGGGATCACGTTAAACTGGGGCGTCCTGTTAGCCTGGGTTGAAGTCCATAATTCTTATTCGTCATTGCTGACCGTCCTGCCGCTGTACGGCGCGTGCGTATGCTATACCGTCATTTATGATTCGATCTATTCACATCAGGTTTGTAATATTTTGTCGTTTTTTGCCATAGGCGATTTTATGGGTGTAATAATACGTTAATATTTAGATAAGCAAAATTTCCTAACGGTTCTAAATACAATTATTATATCGCCTTTTAACATGAACTAATTATATGCTGTAACCCGTCTATATAAGAAAACCGGAATCGGTTATTAGCTTAAGGTAGTATCGAGAGAACGCTCATCAGCTGATAACTCGATTGATTTAGAAATGGAATAATTTCATATTCTGGTATGGTGTAGACTGTACATGAGCCAACCAGTTGTTATCTTTCCTGAAGAAGGATAATGACGTGATATGTAAGCTTAAGCAACATTCTTAATCCAGATTTCCTGTATAAATATTTCTGCAAAATTCTTCAACTTCTCAAGCAGTGGATCGATGGTTCTAGTGGTCTTACGATGATAATGACAGTGCATTCTGCAGTAGGTTTAACCTGGTACCAGCACGTATGATTAATGGTCCATATGCATGCTCTCACTATGACCATTGCAGTCTGACTTGTCTATGAGTCCAGATGAACAGCAGGGTAGGTAGGCAGCACAGTCTATGGCATCTTTACGATTAACTGTCTACTACTGGAGTGCTCATGTGATTGCAGGTTGCCCTTCTGCGTTGCCTTCTTCGACTATGAAAGGGCGTTCGAGTAGGTCGAACTCGACGCTTATGGAAAACGACGCTTATAGAGCAAGGCTCGACGCAAGGTATGTCAGCTTGATGATTAAAACTGGCTCTTGATGGACCATGAATACAACTTTGCTCGATACATCTCTTTGAATCCCATTCAGTAAAGGTACGATGCAAAAAGACATCACTTTATCAAAACTACTCTGCAGAATGATTAGAAATGGTGATCAGTGGAGAGCAGCTCAGATTCGCTGATGACGTTTCGTTTAGTTTGTTTAAAATTTGACACAACTGCGAGAAATGCTTCAAGAATTGACCAATGCATTGAGGTGACTAAAAATTAGTTGGTCGGTAGCAAAATACCCGCATTAGATGTGCTGCGCTAAGCTCTAATAATGATTGAAAGCTTCTGGAATAATTGGCAAATTACGTCTATTACGTGAGTCCATAAAAGCACTAACGACTCGATCAGAAGCTGAAATCTCTCGCAGACGGAAGGAAATTCCTGTTTCTTCATCTCCATAAAGGAGTTCCTACTTTGGAAGGCCAGCAGAACGACACATCTCTTTTCAACTCAGCCTTATTGCCTGTGATGCTATACAGCAGCGGCACATGGTCGCTGACGAAAGATGAGGAAAATCGGCTGTCTGTTACTGTGATCTGAATATTGGCCATTTCGTCCCGAGACTACATCCTCAGTGGTGCCTCTAGGACCGTAAAGATGCTATGATTTAACTTACAAGCAGCGTCAAGGCCGAGGAAGGTGTGTATAAAAGAGTGCATGGAGTGTTATAACCTTCGCACTCATTGTGATATCTGAATATTGATTGACCAAGCAAATGATACAGTGGTCAACTCCCATCCTCCATCCTCATGATAATGCGCCGTGTGAAGCTTCATTGTTTCTCTGAGGACTAACTGAATTTGGTCCAAAATGTCAGACTCTTTGTATGATGTTGAATAAATTTTATACGTTGCTATTCCGTTTGACTTGCCGAAATATGATAATTAAAACAATTGTTTAATATGCTAAGTTTGATAGGAT